AAAAAATTTGTGAAATACACAGGAAATACGAGCCTTTTGCTCTACGCTGCGGAGAAGTTCAAAAGGCCGGCAGGGAGATGAGAGATAATGTGAGCGCGGAGAGCGCTAGAGAAGTACGAGTAGAGAGAGCATAGCAGATCAAGTTAGCAGACAAGATATCGAGCGGTGGGCGGAGCGTGTCGCAAGGTGGAGCGTGTCAAAGTTCTTAGCGCCTAGCGTCTAAGTAACGCTTTTCGAAGTAGGGAGAGTGAAGCGACCTCTGCACCCAGCTCTTCTAGCCACAGTAAAGGCATAGGGGGGTCTGACCTTTGCAGTTTATAAGAATATTTTACCGTGACTTTGATCAGCAGCATTTTCTATTTGACAAAAGTTTGGTGATTTGTGCTAGGCGCAAAAACAGATGGGGCTTTACACTCCCCCCAAACAGGAATGCTTCTCAAAATTTTTTTTTCCTTTTTTCTCCTCTGGTGGTCCACCTACTTTCACATTCAAGTGGAATTATCTCATCAATTTAATCCAGAATCTTGCCTTTAAATGCCCCTCTACTAGCAGAAGCAAGCCCATTTTCACTGCATAAACCGTCTTCAGAACATGAAGCCGTCCGCCATCGCCGCCGAGCTCGAAGAGGCCTACCGTAGTTGCTCCAGCTTGCAACTGCTACCTGATTTCTCTTACCGGTCTCATGATGGACAGTTTTCCAAAAACCCCGACTATACAAGACTTCTGCCTGCTAGCACCTTACCGTCAGATATCGTCGTATTGGTCCACATCCGCAGGAAAAATTGCTGCCCTCGACCCATCATGCTCTAATAGTGGATTCGTCTGATGTCGCCCATGTCTAAGGCTATTACGGAGCTGTTGAGAGACTCGAAGGCAATGTTTAATTTTCAATTCACAACTTCGAGTTTTTTCCAACAAATTATGATCAATACAATTTCTGGTCGGGGCGATTGCCTTTTTTGCATCCCCCATATTTCCGCTCCCCCAACACCGCTAATGATTTCGGTTAGGGTAAAAATGGAAGGGGTCGGTGGCCTCGCCGCGGCCGCGCCCCAAATCGTGAAGAAAGTGGGGGAGCCGGGGTCGGTCCGAAGGAGCTGAGATTGTTATCTTGACTGGGTCGTCAGCCACTTTCGCTCCGAGCATTCGTACATTCAGATTGCACCACCCCGTTGAACGTCAAAAAATCTGATCTGTGACAGAACAGTGACAATTAACTCGAACAGAGATCCATAGCCAGCTTCCATTTCATCACCGAAAAAAATTTTTTGGTGCACCGCGGGTAACAGGGGTCCAGGTAACTTGCCCACAGAAGCTTACAGTGATCGTGTAAAGAACACCTGATGCATGATAAAGAAGAATGGTATATGTGAAAGCTAATTCGCTCGCGGAAATGGATGATATTTCTCGACCAGGCGTTGGCCAAACTCCATGGTGACCTCCGACATTCTGACCAGCTGTAGGACAAACTTCTCACCTGAACTGCATTCTAACCTACCAATTGGTACTTTATTTCAGCTATGCATTTCGGCTGCAGTAACAGTGCGATGGGGCCGATGGTCCGATTGTCCGACTTTTCCGGTCGTTGCGATCGCACGAGAGAAATCTTGTGGCGGAGCTGAGCTGGCCTGGTCTCTCCACAAGCTTCACCTAATGTCATCTTTAACGGCGCCCCTTCCCTCTCTCATGATTTAGATAAGTGCGTGAAGTGCGAGTTCCACACCCGGCCACCATAGAGATCTTCCTATTCCGGACCTTTTGCTGTCAATAAAATGACTTCTTATTTTGGCCACTTTGTTGGACAATGCCTAGGAAGACATTTAGCCGTTTTTACCAGGCATTTTCGAACAACATCTAAGCCTCCCTTCAAAAAATCGAAAGTGTCGGTGAGACGCCAACACGCACAATACGAGCGGCCTCAAGCTAACTCTGTTTAGGAAGGTTGTCGTAGTAATAGTCTGATTTTCTGGTAAATGATAGTAGTAATTAGTAACAAGATAGAATACAACTGCAACAGGCTAATCATTTCATTGGCAGAAAACATTAACATTTCGTAAAGGTCGTCATCACTTGTGGTACATGGTCTGCACCCGACACTTTCTCGCTTTTTGGAAGAGTGAGGTATTCTCGTTTGCCATGACGGGGGTCGATTCCCCTTATCCCACTTACCCTTGATTTGTGTGACATTCACATGGGGCCATATGCTGAGTGCTTGGGGAGGGGAGGGGAATGGGGGGATGGGGAAAGGCTGTTGAAGGCGCGTCGCAGGAACCCACTGGGCAACGGCCGCACCTTTGATTTTGCTTTTGTAGCTTTTTCCATTCTTTCATCGCTGTTTTTTGGATGAAGAAAGGTATTGACGAGCGAATATACAATCAGGAACAGTAAAAGAATGGAAACAAAGCTGCAAAATCAAAGGTGCGACCGTTGCAAAGTGGGCGACGAACCTCCCCAACATTACCGGTTTACGGACTACTTGAACTTTCTTCCATGGTCCTGCCACGAATGGCGGAGGGCACAGACAGTTAGAGAACGGCGCCTGGCTCGGCTCCAAATCCCAAGGAAGGAGGTGAGAGCCCTAGGACTAAGCCTTGTAGGAGGGAGGGACTCCGAGGTGGGTGAGCCAACTACAGTGTGGCAAAAGTTTGAATGTGTGAGATCACAATGGTCATGAGCCGCTGATAAGGTGAGAGAGCGCAGACGAGAGAGCTTAAAGGACCGGGTTCAAGTAGTCCGTCAACCCAACCTTACCCCGTCCCCGTCCCATCCCCAACATTCAGCATACATAGTGGACGTCACCCGCGCCCGTAAAACACTGCGGACGTAGTCTCAGTGATCGCTGCATATGTGAGCAATAACCGATAACGTATCGCAAAGCAGCAGCTCGAGCTCCAAAGCAACCGCCCTACCTCGCTTTTACCCATTTTCCATCAAGTGTGTTTTCTTTCCCGTGAAAAAAAAAACTACCCGATCACGGATTTGAATTTTCTCAACTACACTACTGCTTCTCTTATTTCCTGCAAATGTGCCGATGCGATCTCTCGATTTCCGAGAGACTATCTAATGTTCCAGCGCTTAATCAGATTGAGAGCCACCCTTGGGACATTCCAGACGGCGTTCTGTGATCCTCTCGTTATCTGACCCTCGTTAGCGGAGTCTACGCATAAACCCAGCTGGCGATAACTGGTTCAGTCAATTCAGCGGACTATTTTCCAGATAGTAGCTCACATGGTGCTTATGTGTTACAACACAAACCTTCACATAATCACAAGAAAACTCATTTGGGAAAATCTGAAAAAAAAAGAAAAATTTGAACTTGCACCAAAAATCTTACCAACGAATTTTGAGTCAGCCCCCCCCCCTCCCGCCCACTGCCGATCGTACTGTTACTGTGTTACCAGTCTTTGCCGAATGGGAGTGAGTTCTATCCAAATTACAGAAGCGAGAACAGAAAAACGTGAAGTTATGAAGAAACAGGTAGCTATCTACTGATGTACGCTTTGAATTGCACCCCATTCGGCCATGAAGGCTGCTTCATGACCAGCGCAACATAAGAAACTAAGGGAACAGAATGTCCGACACAGAGCGCGATACAATTTGTTGTGATAAGAAACGGAACGTACGTTTATAAGCTCATTAATGACAACGATGAAAGATCAATGTACACCAAAAAGTAGAGACGGATGGACAGAGAACAATATCCACATGTCTCAAATATCGCCTAGAAGCACTTGCGGTGAACGATGGATGGGCCGGACTCGTCGTATTCTTGCTTCGAGATCCACATTTGTTGGAAAGTGGACAAGGAGGCCAGAATCGATCCTCCGATCCATACGGAATATTTGCGCTCTGGGGGTGCAATGATCTTGATCTTCATCGTGCTGTAACAGATAGATTTCCATTTACAAATTCCAATAGAAGATGCCAAAAAAGCTCTAATCCGCAAGAATAAACGTTTTGGCTAACCTAGGTGCAAGAGCCGTAATTTCCTTCTGCATGCGATCGGCGATACCAGGGTACATCGTTGTTCCGCCAGAGAGAACAGTGTTGGCGTACAAGTCCTTACGGATATCGATGTCGCACTTCATGATTGAGTTGTAGGAAGTTTCATGAATACCGGCAGATTCCATACCAAGAAGAAGGCTGAAAAAATTGTTTTGAGTGTGCGATGGTTTTCATTCGTTATCAAAATCCTGCGGCAAATGAACCTGGAGTAATGAACTAACCTGGAAAAGTGCTTCCGGACAGCGGAATCGTTCGTTTCCAACAGTGATGACTTGTCCGTCAGGGAAGTTCGTAGGACTTCTCGAGGGAAGAGGAAGAGGCTGCGGTGGCCATTTCTTGCTCGAAGTCGAGGGCGACGTAGCAGAGCTTCTCCTGGAAAGAACAATAGTGTAGAGGCAGTCACCACCTTTTTATTAACGCATCTGTTGGAACGGTTTCTTACCTTGATATCTCTGACAATTTCACGTTCGGCTGTGGTTGTGAACGAGTAACCACGCTCGGTGAGGATCTTCATCAAGTAGTCAGTAAGATCGCGTCCGGCAAGGTCAAGACGGAGAATAGCGTGGGGAAGGAGCATTAACCCTAAAGGTAACAATTATACGTCTTTTTGCAAACCCAGCATGCCACAAGTCTCACCTCATAGATGGGGACAGTGTGGGTGACACCATCTCCAGAGTCGAGCACGACTCCAGTGGTACGTCCGGAGGCGTACAGGGAGAGCACAGCCTGGATAGCGACGTACATGGCGGGGGTGTTGAAGGTCTCGAACATGATCTGGGTCATCTTTTCTCTGTTGGCTTTGGGGTTAAGGGGAGCTTCTGTCAAAGAACGGGGTGCTCTTCTGGGAGCAACACGAAGCTCATTGTAGAAGGTGTGGTGCCAGATCTTCTCCATATCGTCCCAGTTGGTGACGATACCGTGCTCAATGGGGTATTTCAGAGTGAGGATACCTAAAAAGAGCTATATTCAACCATCTCTCCCTGTGTTGGATCGAAGCATCAAGAACCTCTCTTGGACTGAGCCCTCGTCTCCTACGTACGAATCCTTCTGTCCCATACCGACCATGACACCCTGGTGACGGGGTCGGCCGACGATGGTATCGGGAAGACGGCCTCGAGGAGCATCATCTCCAGCGAAACCTGCCTTGCACATTCCGGAGCCATTGTCAACCACAAGAGCAGCAACCTCGTCGTCGCACATTCTTCAAAGATGGTAACCATAGCATAACCGATAAAGAAAACGCCGACTGATAACGACCTTCTTCAAACTTATTTCATTTATCTTAACTCTTTCTGGAAAGTCCCGCAGTCAACAAAATTTTGCGATATCTCTTTGAAAGAAGGAAGAGGAGGGAGGAGAGCAGCTATGAATAGACTCCGACAGCTGTCAAATCGAACATCGACTCATTCGTGCAATTCACGGAAGAGCAGAACATACCACAACAGTGATGGCCATATAAGAGAGTAATAAAAGAAAATGAGCGCGCAAACCCTACAAAAGACTAAAAACTACTGAAAGACTGCCATAAGAGAGCAGAAAACAGCGAGAATCAAAGCTTTTATTGAAAGGTAGAGCGAGGTTAGAATTGGATGAGAACTCATTGATGACCTCATATGGAGGGATAGAAAAATTGTGATAAAAAAAGCAAGTACTAAGAAAGCGAGGGCGGTTGGGGAGTCGCAGCTGATGCAAGTTTACACTGTGCGGGGGTGCGGGCTGAAGATTACGCCAAGACTTTGACGAAAATCCTCTTCACCTCACGACTGCGCAAACTTGAAACTGTGCGGCGCCAGCACTTTCACCCTCACCATCCCGGCCTGCTTCAAGCATTATATAGGCGCAACAACGGTTCGGAGAAAATGCCACCGTTTTCCTTCGAGTGTTTCTCGGAAGACCTGCATGATTCGATCGGAAAACGCCCGCTAACCCCTCGGAAATACAGTCGAAGACCGGACACGTCATCGTCAAATCATTCCGTCAGGCCGTTGGTATTTTCCAATAGGCAATTCTCGGAAGCCAGCGCGTGTAAAGTTTGTGCAGACAGCGAGGCGTTCAACAAACAAAGCCGACAATGCGAGTGGCTGGCTGGACATCAACAGAAAACAGCGCTCAGAATTTAACAATCTTTTGATACACTTAATTATAAGCACAGAATTCGTGAAGATCGTTTGTACAGAATCAGAATGGCTATGCAAACAAAAACGATGACAATAGCCGAGAAATTGTTAGATAAAACGGCGCTATCGCAAGATACGGGTGCATCGCGGTGGCAATTCATTTGCAATCGCGTAAAACCTCGCCTTTTTGAGAAGAACGATACTGAGCCTTAGGCTGGGGAGGAGACACTCCAGGAAGCGTGAAAAATTTTCTTTTCCCGAAAGTTCCTGCCACTTCGGCTTAATCTAGAAGGGCGCTCATTTAAGGGGACATCCAAAGCAGGGCATTCAGACAACCGCTGGTAGGTGAAAGCACGACTAACCCCAGGATTTGCGGATAACACAGCGTGCAACAATGGTTACCATATGCTTTCCCGGCGGACTTCTCCTCTAAGGCTTAAGTCCCGAGTTGTATTAGTATGGATACCACTCAATGATCCCCTAAGTTCATGAGGCCTCTGGAAGATGTCTTCGTATCGATGGAGCCGATAAAAGTGTGACCCTAGTGAGTCTGTTCCCGAAGTTCCATTTACTGAGCCTGAATATAATTGGTCATCTGTGGGGTGGTGGGAGGTGGGGAGGGGGGGTGCGTTACTTCCATAGTGACACCCGACAGCACGTGAGGTTAAACATTGGACAGGTTTTCTGTGGGAGTGGGCAAGTTTTCCCTAACGCTTCTCTCCTCTACTGGGCTTGGTCTTAGGTTCATCTACAATGAGCCTGTTTTGAATGTCCCCCCCCCCCAAATACATGAAACGTGTGCGCGAATAATAATAGGCACGAATTGGGTACCAAAAACCAAAAAACCTAAAAAAACATTCAAGCGCTCATGTCCTTGGGGGAGGGACACCAAACAGAGCCGATGGTAGGTGACACTCGGAACTAACAAGGGAGGTCTTTCAGGGCAAGCCACGCTTTTTCAAAACGGTTTCTTGCATATTGTAGGGATGCATGTAGGGAACACAAAACCATGTTTCATTTTCGCTGAACGGTTTTAGCAGTACCAAAAAAGAAGCATAAGGTACTGTTAATGGTTCGATCCCCCGTGGCGACTAAATTTTGCATTTGGGTTGGCGCCTTCAAATCGCGCTAAATGTCAAAATCAGATGTCATATTCATCGTCAGGACCATTTTGAAGCCAACAAGTGGCCGCCAACCTTGATTGCAAAATTTAGTCGCCGCGGGGGATCGAACCATCAAGAGTATTATTCACCACTTTTTTGGTACTACTAAAACCGTTCAGCGAAAACGAAACATGGTTTTGTGGTCCATACATGCGTCCCTACAATATGCAAGAAACCATTTCCGAAAAGCGTAGCTTGCCCTGAAATACCTTCCTTGTAAGTCCGGAGAGGGGAGAAACGCCAGGGAGAACACAATCATTGCTCACATCCTACCCCAGAATCCCTTCCCCTGCCTAAGGCTTAGTCCCAAGCACAGCAATTGGCTCACTAACTTGAATCCCCCCCCCCCCCCAACGACATGAGCGCCCAAGTTCACAATCATGATACATTGGGAAGTATCTGCTGTATTTCGTTGCCCAGCACATTCATTGAATCTGTCATCGTTCAAAGAAGAATGCATCACAAAGCGCAGAATACCAATGTGAATAGACAATATTCTTAACGAAGGAATCAAGAACCTCCTAGTTTAACGGCATTTTTTCAAGCTCTAAGAAAGACGTTGAAAAATCGCACACGACAGAACACAAGAGGCCAATGAGTTGAGTAAAAGTAGGCATAATCGAGCCAAATAGGCAGCAGACTGGAGGAACCAGCCAGCCCAAGTGGTAGCAGAGCGCAGCATCGATCTGGTTCGTTCGAAGTGGAACCAACCGCGCGGTCCGCGCAATTTCGTCGATCGAAGCGCGCCAAATTCGAATTTCGACGCCGGACCATTTGGGGTCGCCGCCCGTCGTCGCCCCCGCACCGTGTTGACGTCGTTTTACATGCTCAAGGTCACCCCACCCCCCGTACGTGACATTCTCGCGGTGTTCCGTCAGTTTCGGGACGCCGAGACAAAAAATCGTCGCGGTTTTGTGTTGTGTAATAACTCTTCTCGTCTACTTTGCCCGGGTTGTGTGGAACTTTTTGGTTCGTGGCTATCTCTACATGGGAAATAATACCGAACAAGCGGGTATATTCCACACTTATGACCCTTAATTTTGAAGAACTTTTTGGTCAAGTGGACGGCAATAATTCCTCCAATGAAGAGCACGGTGGTGGGAGTTCTGCTTGAAACTGCGGTCCAAAAAACCCGGTTAAAGTTGTGCA